GCTCGGGTTCAAGCTCTGGAATGGGCTCAGGTTCTAGCTCTGGAACGGGCGCAGGTTCTGGACCAGGGTTCTCCGGTGGACTGTCGGGATCCGTCACCTCACCATCAGGGGTAAACTTGTCCCAGGGCTCCCAATTCACCGCACCCTCGTTAGCATGCTGCAACCTCTCAAAACCCCGGATTGGCCCAGTAGTCACCAACCCCACCAGATGGGACCAAGCCAAATAGGTATGGCGTTGCAGTTCCTCTAATCCCACGTCTACCCAAACAGTGGTGAGATGCCTAACGTACGTCTCATCCGGGCTCAGTCCCGGATATTTGGTCTTCTCATGCACCGTATGCATAGGAATCCCAAAACGCCTAGGTGGCGACATACTAAAGGTCGGGGATCTGAAAATGTTTGCACTACAGCAATGAGAATAAATCTCAATAAGCAGACAACTTATACCCCACCTAGGCCAATTCGTACCCAGACAAGTCTAACATGCAATCCACCAGCCAACACAATCAATTCCACACAACATACTTACCTCGCCTCGAACTACATGCCAACTCTGCATATTAGAATATCCACCATAAAGCAATAGTAATTCAAGAACATAACATTGCCACTCAAACGCCATAACTACGTACATTCAATCAATTCAATCACACTCAATTTGCATTCGTGGCCGAGCTACTTTCTCACGACCTCCCAGGTCCTTTCACACTGCCCGCGTTAACACGCCTCAGGCCAGCCCTCAAATCAAGCCGGGCTCCGTCCCTCATTGGACCTTTCACACTTTCACACGACCCGCGTAAACACGCCTCAGGTCAGCCCTCCGATCAAGCCGGGCTCAGTCACGCGTAACCACGCCTCAGGACATTTCTCTCGACCCGCGTAACCATGCCTCAGGTCATTTCTTGCCTTTCTAGCCACACCCGCGTAACCACGCCTCAGGTTGGCAGCCCTCCGATCAATCCAAGCTCAGTCGTACGTAACCACGCCTCAGGACATTTCTCTCATGCACATGCACCACAACACAATTTACCAAGCTTTCACCAATGTCAATCTGACACGCCATAACAGCCAATTTCAAGTCATGCTCCCTACATCGGCCCACCGATCCGACATTCAAGTCGGCACATTCAAATATTCCATTTCACCCACAAACGCCACGACAACTCGGTCATGTCACCTATCTCATTCAATCACTAAATTAGCTACACAATCACCACCACAATAATCCATAAATTGAGCACATTCAATTTTACTAATCCTCGCCTAATTTAATCCCTAATGCGATATTAAATCACACCCTAAACAAGTCTAAAAATACTCATTATACTAAGTAGGGTTTAGGAAGTCACTTACCTAGGTTCCAAGCCAAAGGGGACCAAGTAAGGATGGACAAAATGACCGGTCGGATCGGCGTCGGGCTCGGCGCGACGGTCGGCACAACGGTCGGCCACGGGCAAAATTCTTGGCGCGGCCCACGGCTACGGGCTCGGCGCTCGGCATGGTCCTCGGCATGGCCCTCGGCCACGGGCAAAATTCTCGGCCGCGGCAGGGCACGGCGACGGGCACAGCAACGGGCACGACGGGCGACGGCTGGCACGGCGACAAGCCACGGCCGGGCGAGCGCCCAGGTGAGCAGGCCTTTGGCCACGATCGGGGCAGCGGCTCGGCTGGGTGGGTGGGCGGACGGGGACGCGACGGGAGAGCAGCCAGCGCGCGGCCGGGCTGGCGAGCGAGCTGGCCGGCAAGCGAGCGGGGCGGGGAGCGGCCGACGAGCTGCTGGGTGAGCCGGTGACGACGGCGACGGCGAGCTAGGCTGCGAAGACGGTGGCTTAGGGGAGTTGGGCTGGTGGTGGTGGGAGCAGCGGCCGAAACGGCAGCGCACGGCGACTAGACGAAGCGAAGCCGGGCAGGGAGGAAGAAGAGCTTGGGGAAGGAGAAACACTAGAAGGAAGGTCGGCGGCGGGAACGGCAGGGTCGGCGAGGCTCGCGGCGGCGTGAAGCGGACTGCGGCGACGGGCTCGGCTAGGCGAGCTGCTGGGCGACGACGAGCTTGGTCCGGCGAGCTACCAGGTGTGCGGACAAGCGAGCGGCGACGGCGACGGCGTCCGGTGGCTGGGTGGCGGCGACTGCGGAGGCGGTGGCTGGTCGAGTGTGCGGCGGCGGAAGGCGGACGACGAGGTGGTCGGCGGTCGAGTGAGCGGAATGAAGCAGATGCAGAAGCTGAAGCAGTCGCGGGCGAAGGAAAGAAAGAAGAAGGGAAGAAGAAGAAAGAAGAGAAAGGAGGAGAGAGAGAGAGAGGGAGGGGACGTTGCATGTGGCAGAGACGGAGAGGACGCGCGGGCAGGGGGAGGGGACGTCGCGCGTAGGGTAGGGGCGCGGCAGAGAGAGAGAGAGAGAGAGAGAGAGAGAGAGAGAAAATATCTTAAGTAATAATCGCGATCCAACGGCCCACGTTCAAACCCAAAAACGATCCAACGGCCACGAAAATCCTAATTAATTAATAGGAAAAAGGGCAAAAAGAAAATAACCCAAAACACACTACGAGAGAGGTCTACTTGTCCAAATCCGCACCCGGTCGAAATTTCTCTTTCCACATATCCCGGGCAATATCGAGGCTGGCCACAATAATATCGACACCGTCCAATTAAATTCGTCCCGGAACTCCGAGAAATTCGATACCAAAGTTTGGGCTCTAAATAATGACCAAATTCGATCGAGTGCGATTCTAGCGAAATCTCTAATTTAAAAATAATAACCCAAGAGTGATCAGTTCCGGGCGAGATTTTATTATAAGCGCAGTAACGAAATACACGTTTTATAAATCCCAAAAATGGGCCGAAATTCGGAATGTCACATCATTGGTACATCTGTTGGTCATATTGAAATAAAACTGAACTTTCCTAAATTGGTTTATTCATAAATAATAAGATTTGCCTTGCCCCTTTTTAGGTATAAAGGAAGTATATTATGGCTGTGCAAATGATAAATTTTGGAGGCTTTGGCTCAATACTGGCGTTGCATTCAAGTAGCTCCAAGGCATGCATTTCTGAACTTGCTTTTGTTTCTGATTTCATAGCTACTTAGCTCCACTTTGTAATTGTGACATATAATGATTGACAACTAAAGCTTACTGGAGGTCTTCTTTATGTTGATTACTGATGGATGTGATTTTGTAGTGGTTCTGTTTGTTGTCACTATTTAAATATTGCAACACATAACCATGAAAATAAATGGAGGTTTATGGAACTAATTTTCCATCTTTTCTGTCTTTAAGTGGAGTTTCTGGAAGCGTCAAGAATTCAAGTATATATTAATTCTAGATTTCTCCGATTTGTTTCCTTTTTCTTGAATTCTTTGTGATTTTTTGGACATTTCTGTATTCTTTTCATATGCCCAAGAGGATGTATAGTTCTGGGAAGTGCTACAAGTTAAGCTAACATTAGTTTCTTCTTTCTTGTTCCCTTTCCCCCTTGTTTCTCACGTTTTCTCACTGCAGTGAGATTTTTTATGTCTTTAGTGTTGTCATGGTTAAATCTGGAAATCTGCAAAGAAATGTGATAATTTAATTATGAGTAAATTATGCTTTCTGATATGCCATGGGCAATGTACTTGATAAACAAACCTCTTTTTGTGTTTATTAGTTGTAGTTGTCTCTTCTTGCATACGTGAGAGCAGGTGCCTACTAAGTTGCGGTGTATGGCTTGTGTTTCTAGAATGATATTTCATCTATCTGACGCTGCTATGATCTAACATTTCATGTTTTCTAAGCTTGTTTAAAACTCGTCAATGTTTTACTCAAACTTTGTTGACACAAAAGTTAAAACGTTGAAACAGGATCTGTTTTATTGTGATTTACGCAGTACATGAAGTAGCTAATCTAGATTACGGACATTGCTTTTTCTATTCAAGTATTTTTTAAGGAACAACGGCTCAAGTACAGGGAGAAGAAGCAAGAGATGTACTAACGATGCATCTTAACAAAAAAATTAAGGAAAAGGAAATAAACCATGAAAACTCTTGACTTTTATAGACTGAAATTTATAGTTATGCTGCTCTTAATAATCTGACTACTAGTCAAAAGTAGTGTGGGAAACATGAACTAGCTCATTGCCTTTCTGAATACGACATCAAACAAGAGGACTCATCTTGCAGATAAAGGACTGCCTTGCTCAATTTCCTCCCTCTCGAGCTCAAAAACTAGCCCTAATTATTACATAGTTTCATGATAGAGTATGAGACTGTTGTTATAATGGTGAGCATGGTTCCTATACAATGTTTGGAAGACATAGTTGATTGAAACCCATCCGAGCCAATACTATTAGACAAATCATCCACAAATCTTCTCTCAATGAGATGCTGGTACCAACATTTCTATGAAGAGAAGTTGCCCATCTGAATTAAAAACCTCTAAGTTCACCCTGTTTACAGCATGTTAGTTGTTCTCCATGGACATTGGGTTTTATGTAGAAGAGAAAATATATAACGGCCCAAAGGCATTGTTCAAGTAAAAAATTTTAAGCCATAGTTACCCCAAACACAAATCTTTTTTTAGATTTGATCCAAGAATTTTGCTAAGGTCAATGCCGCTAATAGAGCCTAGTTACTGTCAATTGAATCAAATGGTACACTTTAGAGATAAATTGCTTGCATGAAGACCTATTTCCTAGAGTATAGGCATTTCTTAAAATTGATAATCTGAGGACTAAAATGTAAAATTCTTAAACAAAACATATTCTCCTATCAGCAAACTTGTTTTGGCTTAGATAGTACCTTCTTTTGCAAAGTGCTTTGTCAATTAGTCTGCTAAGTTATCTCTGCTACGATATTTGGACACGTTTTGCAATTGGAATCTGTTCCGGGTTCAAGCTGATGAACTAGGTAAAAAATGCAGAATCATCCGGAACACTGGCTGGTTTCCATAGAAATTTCATCTATGTTCCCCTTTCAAGTGTCTGCCTGATTGATGAATGTCTCCAACTTTTTTCTTGTTTCTCTTGCAGTAATGGGAATTCTGGATCAAAGGGTTTCAAATGTTGTGGAGGGATAATGGCATCAGAAGCGGTTTCTCTTCTGTGAGATTTTTATGAACAAGGAAACTATATTGGTGGGTACACTTTACCAGACTGACACTAAGTATAGTTTCTTGAGTGGAGCGTTTTTCAACCATATGCCCAGTAAAGAAAAGTTCTGAGTTTCAGATGGCCAGTCATTTTTTTTGGCCAATTTTCAGATGCTCTGCTTATCAAATATAGCTTTCCTCTAGACTAGGTATTCTTAGCCAGATTGCCATTTGAGAAATAGGACGTAAGGAAAAAGACGAAGTGCAGTATCTTCATAGTTGATAATCCATTGGTTAGACTCGTTGAGAGAAATATCTTCTTCCTGATCCCTATCGTGAATTACTAAACATATATGGTTCTTGGTCGAGCAATTCTCCAATTTGAGCTCTTTAGTTGCAAATATTGAAGAGACTGATCAGACCAGAACCTTTTCGTGCTTCTGAGATCATTAGAAAGCTTTGGAAACTCATTACATACAGAAAAGATGGTGTTGAAATAATTTGTCTACGCAATGATAAAATGAATTTGGTTTTCTTCTCTGTTCTATAGAACCCTGTAACATGAATATCATTCTTGTTCGCCAGTTTTCCCCTCCTTTTCCATTCATTTGCTGTTTACGACATTGTGGAATCTTTTGTTTGTTTGTTTGAGTATTATAGATATATGCCAAATGCTAATATTTTGATTTCAGCTCCAAAGCTTCACAGGCCACGGGTTACTTAGGCTTCTCATTTGACCTCTGTGCATTGATTCTTCCTGTTGAATCCTCTCGTGCCTTTGTACAACTAGGTAAGACCTTTCAACTTGTGATTCCTTGTGTTTCTGAGCATCATGTACATCATGTAAAGTTTGACGATGCACCTTTGCTGTGTATTGACTGATTATCAGTTCCTTGTGCATATAACAAGTGGGCTGCATTGTGTGACCTTTCTATATTATAACCTATTAACAATGGAATGACATTGATTAGTGCGCTGTGGCAATGTTTCTTGCTTTGGCAGTGTGATATGATGCTCATACTAAGATTGAGTATACATATGGCTTAGATTTCCTTGTATGATGGGAGTCAATAACAACATGGACAATATAAAGGTCTTCAAGATGAAGTTAGACAACATCCTCGCTCTTCATTCCTGATTCATGGTTTATTCTGATTTTACTGTTTATTGTTCTTATTCTTGTCGGTTAATCTCTTCATTTAACTATAACCCAAGTCAAACTTGCAGTTCAAGGTAGTTTCCATTCTTAAGTTAAGCTCATCGCAAAATAACTCAAACTATAGTGTCGTGACTCTTTGTATTCTACATGCAAAGAACAAATCTAGATGTGACATCATTGGTACTGGTTCTAGCACAATAAGATTCTCTCCCGTTTGCGTGTGATGTGGGAAACAGTTAATTCTTTTGTCACAAGATGTTAAAACATTTCGTATCCATAGTTTGGTCAAACAGCCCTTTTAATATAGAGATCCATGTGAATGTTGCTAACGATGATTAGCATTCTATTTTGTGGTAAGAAGATGTAGTTAAATATCTAGCATTCCATGAAGTGGCTTTAAAGATTCTGTGCACTCTGACTGACAATGCATGTGCCATTTACTACTTTTCCAATCACAGAATTTCCGCAAGGGGCTTGAGAGAAGAAGCTCGATTCTTGTCCAGATCAGTTTTTGCCCGGATGGTCATGTGTTCATTGAGGATTGCAGCTACAGTCACAAGTTCATTCCGTGCTTTAACTTGATTATTAAATTGTTAAAATAATTTACGGCATAACCCCTTGTAGGCATCACTTTTCTGATGCTAATTTTTGTCATCAAAATTTGTCACGCCCCGAACCCCATCGAGCTCGCGACATCCCGCTCCGGTCGAATTATTGCGACGTCCCAGGAACATCGCCGACCCAACCCAAACATCAGAAACACATGTGGAAGCGAATATAAAACCCCTAACTATAAAGACGACGATGGGGCAGATCAACAGGACAATCAAATAACAACAACATTCATTTATATACAATGCCAAAGCATTATCCATACAAACATCATATTATACACGAGCTTAGCAAACAAGCATTCACCACCACCGACATAACAAAAAGGATCAGGTGGCTTGGTTAACCTAGCTTCACTATAGGACGACCTATTCCGTGCAACCCCTAAAATACCCTAGGGAAACCTACTGGTCGCCCTCTTCCCTTCTGCTCCTGCGTCTTCTGGCTCAAGCCCCCGGAGGATCATCTGCAGCTCCACTGGGCACCATGGCGGCTCCCTGAACTCCAAAAAGAGGAGGCGGGCCTCCCTGGGTTTAAGGCCGGGGGTCTGAAAGTGGTGGTTATACAACCGTGAGACGAATCTCAATAAGTGTACAACCCCAAACCCCACATAGGCTCTGACGTACCGCCAGACGAAACACGCACAGCACACGACGATCAACCATACTAACAATTACATGCGATCCTACCTGGAACCCATCATGCACGTTCCTGGACGTCAGATAATAACATAGCCAACATGCCACAATGATGCATCACAGCCGCGCACGTGCCTCGATTATAAGGCAAAACTTACTTGGGCACGTCCCATACCATGCCTAGCAGATTTTACCCCATAATCGAGCGCTACGACACGCAATACAAACACACTCGCACACTAACTCACACCATGCGTCAACTTTCGCAGTCCTCACAAGTCCGACCAAGTCCAGCTCACTCCCAACCTTTCCACCACTACCGTGCCCGCGTAAAACGCATCAGGCCAACGGTCTTCTGACCTCGTCAGGCATCGTCACCCCGTCGGGCCGGGCATCGTCACCTCGTCAGGGACGGCATCGTCCCGCGTAAACGAACATGCCTCAGGACGGAATCCTACACTCAACTTTCCTTCTACCGCGCCCGCGTAAAACGCATTAGGCCAACAGTCTTCTTACCTTGTCAGGCATCGTCACCCTGTCGGGCCGGGCATCGTCACCTCGTCAGGGACGGCATCGTCTTGCGTAAACGAACACGCCTCAGGACGGAACCTTTCCAACCAATCCTACATTCCCGTACCTTCGTTCCACTCATACCACACATACCACACGGCCACATATACACATGCCCACACACAATCGCACACTTCACATACGCTTCACAAATACACATTCTCGCCACGTGAACACCACACGATCACCCATGCTTGGCACGCGAACTCAATGCGCAATCACACCATCACGCCTCATGGCCACACACTCTCGGCACACAATCACGCCACATTCAGCCCAAGACACAATCCAGAATCAACCAACAATCACAAACCATACAATCGCATATACGAACTCCAAAAATTCTAAATTTTGGATATATCATAAAAGACATCTTGATCAACATTTATTATGAAGAACACGAAATCCGGTTCAATCTGCGACCATGCCTTTTTGTTCCTCGAAATCAGACCAAAATCAGTTCGCTCTAACAGACTGTTTTGTCCTCAAAATACATTTCTTTCAACACCCAAATCACCTTGAAAAGGTTTGAAATTTTTATATTTCATAGAAAAGAGAGTCACTAACAACTTTCGTGAAGGAATTTTATTGAAAATAGATCTGAAAAATTTTCTAAAAATTCCGTAAGACAAGAAGGTCGGGATGAACAGTGTTCCGGGCGGTTTCAATACGGTCTGAAAATGGGTTTTCGTACGACCCAAATGGCCTCCAAAAATTCCAAATTTAAAATATGTTATACTTCAAGATGTTGGGAGCAACTTTCATGAAGAAAACTTCCTCAAATTCGGCCCCCAAAATTTTCCACAAAAATGGCAAACCGTACGCATACAGCAGTCACGAATCCGAGAATCACACCAAATCTCACGGATTCAAACCGTAATCGTTCCACACCATCACAGCCTTAACCAAGCCTGCTAAACCACGCATTTTCATCCCACAAATCAGTCCACAACAACCAAATATCCAGCCCTCATCTCAGTCCCAAAACAGCCATAATAATCACCTAAACCAAGCCCTAAACATGTCTAACAATACCCGAGGTCCTAGGTAACGTTTGGGGGAGTCACTTACCCTAAAAGGTGAGACAAACAGGGCTGGACAGAGGCTGGAATGATCGGACCAGCAGCAGCAGCGGCGGCGAACGGCGGCCGGCGGTGCTCCTCTAGCGGCGACGATCACGGCAAGGAAACGAGAGAGAGAGAATTTCGGGAGAGAGAGGGAGTACGTGAGGTAGAGGGGCCGGCTGAGATCAGAAGAGAGAGAGAATGGGGTCAAAGTTGGTCAAATACCCCTTAGTGGATGCCACATGTCACAATCCTAGGCATCTTGACCATTTTACCCTTGATCTAATGGACCACAACTGTCCTCATCCAATAATTTAGGGGCATTTTTGTCCAATGTCTCAATTATTGGGCTGATGCTATTTCTTTAATAATTTCCTTAATTAAACTCAATTTTCAGCCCAAAATTCGGAATACCCCAAAATAGCCTAGGGGCAAAATGGTCATTTTTCCGGTCCCGAACCGAAATCCATTTTTTTGCAGAAATGGGTGGCCCCAAGGTTGGCCAAGCCAAAAACGTCATCGGCCGCTCAAAATTGTCACTTTCCAAAATTCTCGATTCTTGGGCCCGAATTCCAAGAAATGACTAGAATCGAACAATCGCGACTTTAGCTTATCTCTGGCTAACGGGTGGCTCGTTAGGATTACGCGCCCTCGACCCGTGACCGACACTAAGTCAAATCACGTTTAAGTTTGCTCGAACCAAGGCGACCTCGATTGTCATGTAATTGCGAGGGTCTGTCACTAGTTCCCTTCGGACACGATCAATCAAATAGATCGCTCTCTGTTGGCCCAAAACATTCCCTCGACAATCCTTATGGTCGAAGGCCGAACCAAGGTCGAGTTCTTTGGTCGTGCGAACTCAATCCCGTAATAGCCTTACCCCTAAGGTTAGCATCCCGTGAATGCGCTGTTCCGGGTGAGATCTCACTATAAGTGCATTGGTCAAAATATTCATTTCATAAATCCCGGGAAAAGGATCGAAAATTCGGACTGTTACAATTTTATTCTGTAATCTGCTTGATTTTTTCTTTTTCGAGTTTTTCGACCTTTGAGTTAATTCTAGGCATGCTATTGATGTGTCTGAGCATCAGACTTCTGGACCATATCATGTGTGATCCCTAAGATGATAAAAAAGGTCAATAATTTGCATGTGATTCGCATGGATTTCCTGGCAAAGAATACATTGACTGGATTTAAGCTTCCTGATTGTACTAATTATGTCCTAAATACTTGAATTTATAATATTGTAGAGCCAATTAATGTCTTGTTCATTGTTGACTTTACCTAGCATATAATTATAAGAAAATCTCGATGATTTGATTGGCCAGATGGTGACCATAATTGGTTTAGATAGTCACTTGATGGCTCCAAGCGTACATAAAAATCTCTATGTTTTTGCTCGGTCAAGAGGCACTTGGCAATTGCTTCTTCCCTAGTGTGCTTTCAGTATGTTCAATCCTAAACGAGAGGCCTTTTCTTCTGGCTATAAAATGTCGAATTTTGAGTTCTTTCTAGCTAGTGCTGATTATATTATAGCCCAATCTATTAAAACATTTGAAAATACCAAAACATTTGTCTGAAAGACCCATAGTCTATACGAACGGTAATATGGTAATTTTGGACCATAATGTGTTAGAAATTTTTATTAGTGTGGGCTAACATTAATTGCATAATATTTTGATCCGTGGAAAATACTTTGTTATAATATTTATAAAATATATGAGAATGTTGTATTGAGCAATTATGGTTATTTGATTGTACAAGGCTTATTAGGGCTATCAAAAGAACCCAACTAAACACGGACCGACTCGAAAATTTTCGGCCTTTTAGGATTGGGCCTCAGTTTGTTTCAGGTAACAATAAAAATGGTTGGGTATTGTTATGGATATGTTAGGCTCATGTTATACCCGAGCCCAAACACAGAAACAATAGTTAACCCTATCCTCAACCTGACGAACACGGGAAAAGTGCCAAAAAAGTCCTAAACCTTTTGCATTTGTGCCAATTTAGTTCTAAACTTTTTTTGGTGCCAATTAAGTCCTAAACCTTTTGCATTTGTGCCAATTCAGTCCTAAACCTTTTGTCTTTGTGCCAATTAAGTCATTCTGACCAAAATTGGCCGGATTTTGCTGACGTGGACGCCGACCGGTCATCGGCACTGACGTGGTCAAATTTAATAATATTTTAATATTTTTTGAATTTTTATTTATTTTTTTCTTCTTTTCTTTTCTTTTTTTTTTCCCTCCCCTCCCCTCCCCTCCCTCCTCTAGTCGGTCGCCGAACTGGCGACCGGCCGTAGGCTAGCGACGGCGTGCTCGCCCTCGCCAGCCACTGGCGACGGCGGCCTTACCCGGCGAGGTCGAGCCTCGCCCAGCCGCCGGCGAGGTCGGGCCTCGCCCAGCCATGGCGAGGGTCGCCCTCGCTGGGTGAGCCAGTGGATGGCAAGGGCTCGAGCCTCGCCATGGCTGGGGGTTAAGGAAGGAGATCTCCAGGAGACGAAAAAGATTGTCTTCTTTCATCCCCACCCTTCGTGTACACCAGAAAGCTTTTTGGCATCTGTGGGCTGGGGGTTAAGGAAGGAGACTGAGCGAGTGCTTTTGACTATTGACTTGTATAATGTTACCACTACAAATCTTTAGATATAATGGCCACAGAAAATTTCTTCACATAAATCACTATTGAGATGCAAAGTGACTTAGATTTGAATTAATTCGTCCACCAGTCCTCCGTCCAGTCCAAGGGCTTCCGCAACCTCGCCGAGAGCAAGACCGT